GTGTATATATTCTTACTTCGATTTATAATATATTCTAGATCTTAATACCAATTATTTTTATTTGTTATTCATAAGATCGTTTATTTTAGTGTCTTTTATACGCTCTCAGTAATTTCAATTACAATTGTATGCATTAGTCTCTTATTTGTTAATCACTACCACAACACATTGACAAAAGAAATCAAAATATTTATCGACATTACCAAAACCAGTACAGTTAAACACATAAGTTCCATAGTTACTCAGTTTTCCTTTATCTTTTTACTTGACATGAAATTGATTGAGATCATATTACATAAGTCATCATATACTCATGTGGCTTTCATTTACCCTTTTATATAATCATATTTTCATAATACTGGATTATATTTCACTGACATATTCACAAAACAAAAATTATTTATCATAAGGTTACTTTATTGAATAACAATCTATAATCTATATTTTTTTATACTTACATCATAACTTGCTTTAACAAATAATAATTTTTCCATTATCATTTTCATCATAAAAATCACTGTTACTAAGTTAATAAAGAAATAATTAATCAACATTAAGGCTTAAATATCTACTAGGATTCAATACACATCCTACTTCATTACATAATATTCCTTTAACACTTCCTTAGTATTAAAAAAAATTAAAATAAAAGAACAAAACAAATAATTAAAGTGCAGCAAATTGTAGAAATTAAAATAACAATCAAATGACATTTTCTTTTTTGTCATTGGCTTCTTATTTTCTTTTTCAATTCTGGAATTTTGGTGTTCTAAAACTCTTGACAGAAGAATTGAAACACTACATTGTCACTATTAATCAACCAATCATATAAAACACAAGCTTTCCATTCACCTCAGTGCTCAAATGGATGTACATGATAGTCACAGTAGATGTGGCTTGAATGAGTTAGACGCTGGTATGCCGGACATCCGAAGTTTTCTAGATTTATGCACACCAATCTTGTTATTCAAGTTTTGAGTCTTGTTTTTTCCAGTCCTTTTGAATACAACTATGTATAATTGTGGTTCACTTCCCAGCAAATGTCAATTAAGTCTGTAAAATCATATTGGCCTTTCTCCCATGCAATGTTGTGGAGGTAAGTTATGCACCATTCTACGTGACAAATATCTTCCTCATCTAACATCTGTCTGGGAAATGGTGACCTAAACTATAGGTGTCTGTCCACCCAGTAAAAGGATCCTTGATGGCTAATTCTTTAATGACATACACACCTGCTACCTTGAAACCCTCTGATTTGACCATGGCAGCTTTGTCTTTTCTTCTTCTGTAATTTTATCATATGGAGTTAGACTAAATCAAACTGTCAATATGACTGTACCTTATAACACAGTTCTGATTTTTTTTCTTCATTATTGCTTCGATATGTTCCTGATCGCTTTCAAGTTGTTTCGAGCTGTTACCAACTCACTTCACACATGTTGAGTTTACACTGACCCAATCCACTTCACACAATTAAATTTTACACTAGCTAACCTAAACGTTAAACTAACCTAATTTTGTCATCAGTCTATACAATTTGTGTACATCCTTATTAGCTTGTTCACTATTATTCAGTTCGACCACTTCAGTCATCTCTGAATATAACAACCTTTTGTTGCCTGGTTATGTTCTCTCATTTTGAATTTGCATAGACCATCTAATTTCAACAATCTAATAAAAGCCAATTTTTTACTTGTTTTGTAAAACAGTATGCATACAAGTACTACTATTGAGCATAGTGTTACGAGCACTGAATTTGATAAGTTCCACATATCTAACCCATTTTTCTCTGCTGTAGCTTGCAAGTGATATACATGCTGTTGAAACTCTTTAATAGTCAAACATGACTTTTTAAGGTGCAAATTTTGGGTTTCTTCTAATATGTTTGTTAGCTTTTTTAATCTCATGAATATATGTTTAAACCTTTAATTAACTGCAATTCTTTCCATGTTAATGGTTTTTGCAGATCTGGTACTCTTATATTTAACTGCACTCCTACATGCAACTTGTAGCTAGTTTTAGGTATCCGCTATTTCTTAACTTAACTCTAGTCTGGTAATCAAACTGATGTGTGTCAGATTTAGGACATACTACTGATAAAGTTAACTCATTTCTTACATTAAACAACCATGTTTCTGGGGTTCTTATAGAAATAAATGGTTTAGGGATAATTACTCTCTTTTCACATGATTCTGCTATTGTATTCCTAATTCCTGAAAACAAAACATACATACAAGTTACTGTGGGTATCGGATAAAGTTAGGGTCGCATACTCAAATGGGTCTCTCTATGCATCTTAACATTTATTCTTCCATCGTTTCTAAATAAGTATGCAGATCAGTTGAAACAGCGATATATGGGTTTTCACTCTCTCTGTTGCAACACGTATCCTTCACTGTGTGTGACATAAGGTTTTAGTGTCTTACATTCGAAATTTTATTAAACTACTTTTTGTTTATGTTATAGTAATTAAAATAGCATAAAATCTTAGCTAATAATCCATATTTTAATAGCATACATGTTCTTAATTCTGCAAGGCAATATTTAAAATAAATTCTGAATTTCCGTTAGTGTGACCCACATGACACATCTTCTCTTAGCATGTCATTACTCCTATTTTATTCACCACCCGACGAAAAAGTGTGAAATTAAATGTAAATTACTCTTTGTAAAATCGTTATTGATCAGACAAACCATAATTTTTATAGTCTTCAATTTTGTTCGGTTACAGAGCTATCAAATAGAAAATCAAAAACCATCCTGCCACACTCACCTGTCACATCCTCTCTTTCAGAATGTGTTGATAGTTCTCTCTTATATTTCATTGTATATTATGTATAAGTAATAGAAAGTCAAGGTTTTCATCTATCAAATGACGTGTAATACATGTATAATGAAATAATATAGGAAACCAGCACCTAATAACATGTCTCAATTGACATATTGTTTGTATAAAATATGCAAGGTTTCATTGGCATGAGACAGTTGGGCAGGTACATAGGAAGTATTGTGCTTGAGCACCTAGTGTTGCTTATGTAGCTTTGTTGCAATCTGTTCCAGTAAGAAGCATTGATGTTTTTTCTTGTAAAAACTTCCTTCTTTTAATCTGTTTTAATGTTTAGAGCACATGAATTTTCATATTTAAAGCCTACTGGAAGCTATGTAGTAGATATTTATCTAAAACTAAGATATATTTTGTGTGTTTGTGTATATATAATTATTTATTCTAACTATTATTGATAAATTTGTTACTTGTATGTGTACTGTATTTATTACAACATTATCTGCTTATATTTATTGTTTATACAAAGAAGAAAGTTGAATAATTAAGATCTTTTATGCACAGATATTGTGAATAGTCAAAGGAAACCATGCAGACTTTGTACCAACAGCTCACACACATCCACAAAACATCACATTCTTTCATTTTGAAAGGCAGGTAAACATAAGTACTTAAACCTTTCAAGGTGAGTCTTGTCACTACATATAAAACTTTTAACCAGATAGAACTGATTAATTATGTATTCAAGAAATGGACATAGAACTAGTACAAGAGAATCTAAGTAACACTATTTTTTTGCCTTGTAGAATGAAAAACAGTGTCAACCAATATACACCTGTCCAGTTTTATCTGACTCAACTGGGAAAATTATGATAAAATTCCATGCAAAACCTGGCGCTAAAGAAAATATGATTACAAGTAAGCAAATTTATTACTTGTGTTTATAATATTTATTTACCACTAACTGGAAAGAAAGCCTTTCTAGAAGTAGTAGCTGTTTGTACCATAATTGAACTCTGTAGTATAAATTTGCTGATGTAACATATATTTCTTGATACCCTTATTACAGGGTGGCTTTTTAATGTATTTTGTTTTATGACTTTATATAACTGTGATATACTTGTGGATTTTGTTTCTTTAAGAGACAGTTGATATGTGGCTACAGAGGTTTTTTATTGTTCTAACCAGATAGTTGAAAGAATTGTTTATATTCTGACATGTATGAAAAATAGTAGTAGAAGGATTTTTTAAAGAGGAACTCACATAATATATATATATATATATATATAGTGTTGATATAACTAAAATGTAAACTCCTGCTAATCTTAAATGTATAATACTAATGTTAATTTTCAAGCCCAGTAATTTGCAGCCAGTCACAGATAATTTGACAATCTCACATTTTAGTGTATTGGATACCTTGTCTGAAGCAGGTAGTTGTTTTGTGGAAAAGTTTTAAGAAAAAATCCTAGGTACAAAACATAAATTATCTCTCAGACTATTGTTAGAAACTTCTAATGGTTTATAGCAAAGCATTGTAAGTACTATTTCTTTGATAAAATTATTTGTATGGTAAATAGGATAACTTCCATGCTTTTTCTAATTCTGACCCAACATTATGGACATTTACTCTAAGTGTTGTTGATCTTATTTCAAAGATATCTGTACATCCATTCTATTACTGTTAAGTTCTTTGTTCATGTTTAATTAGGTATTCATTCACATTTCATGCTGATGTTGATTCATGATGGGCCACTTACTTCTAAGGTAGCAGTGATTATTAATATTTATTTCAGTGTATTTGTAGACTTTGTTTATAAACCTGCTAGTTTTCTAATATGTGCTGAATAAGTCAGACACTGTGTAATTTCTTTTTTCTTTTTTTTAATTTTGTGGACCAGGTTGTAGTTTTATGATTTTTAGCTGTGGAGTTTACCCTCATGAAATTGTGACCAGGAATTTATCATATTTTGTGGGATCCATCAGTTTTCATCATAATTTTGTTTTACAAATATCCTCATCCTTGCCCTTCTATAAAGCGATAAATGAAGAATGATGTATTTCTCCTTGTTTTGGCCTAATTTCTAATTGTCCACCTTACTTTTCTCTGTTGGACATTCAGCCATCATTGTCCTGGCTAAAAGTCTACTTCTCTTATGTGTGTGCATATTTAACACCAGTTTTATATTACATTTGATCCTCTGGGTCATGTGGATTCTTCTATGCTTTCTCAGTGTGAACAATTTTGATGAATGTGGCCTCCTCTATAAACTCATCTTTGAGTTTCAGACTGGGGGAAACATGGTAATGTGCGTAAAAAACACATGATAATAAAGTAAAACTGATCCATAGAGGTTTATTGCAAAGCCATTTCTTGAGGTGAATATCGTAATATGAACATACTGGACAGGGGTGTGGAAATTTTTAAAACTTTTTAAACAAGAGACAAAATGCTAGAAAAATCTACTTACCCTTCCCTATCTCACAAACAAAAAAAGTAGAATATAACTTTAAAATTTGTGTATATAAATTGGTTATGCAGTATCAATATTTTGCATCCAAGCTTTTCATAAAAGCATACCTAAAAAATGGTGTCCATTATATGAATTTTTGCCATTTTTAGAAAATCAATATGTTTTTTGCTACTTTAGCACAAAATGCTATGAAATCAAAAGATACTAATTATTAAGTAAAAACCTAGAAATTCTAACTATTTATTTCAAATTTCATAAAATCTGTTTTATTTTGGGAAAAATGCTTTATATTTATGAATACAATACCATGAGAAGCTTAATTTCATCAAGAATAATGTATTTTATGATTCTTATCATTTAGTCATTAGGATTTTACAGAGCAGCATATAGAATACTCTCATTCATGAACTTATAAAGAGAAGAGAAATTGAAGTTTACATTAATGCTGCCATGAGCTAAGTAAAACAGTGTTAGATATATATATATATTGAACAGTTTAAAGATTTTTTGTAATTTTTATTATGTTATAACTTACTGGGTTCATACTTTAGACAAAAATAATATAATATTACTGTTGCATTAATTTCAGTACATTTCATAGTGCGTGTTGGTTTGAATTTTAAAGTAAGGCATTTTTAATTAAATGTTTATGAGTGTGTATTTGCTTAAATTCTAAAGTTAACATTTTTAAGAAACTTGCATGACTTCCTGGAAATCTACTGAGAATGTGTTTCCAGCAATAGAACAAAGAGTTTGTAAAAACAAACAAAGCACTTGTCCCACTGCAAAGTATATATATATATATAGGTATATACTTAGGGCTCATGCTTAACTTTTTTTATGGAAGTCAATCAGGCCCCTCAAACATGAATTTTTAGTGGCCAATCCTATAGCTCATTGTAAAATGTACTCTATAGGTTATCAGACAAATCATTGAATTAAATAGCAGATGCTACATAAATTGAAAGGAAACTAAAGGTATTGACATAACTCAGTTTATTTTATTGTGAACTTGTATTTCATGAAAAAAAAACACAAGTCAAACAATTTAATTTTTTTCAGACCACTTAAGTTATTTTTATTTCATATATGATGTTTGATTTCTCTGTAAAGCATGGTATAACATTGAATTAAATAGCAGATGTTACATAAATTGAAAGTAAACTAAAGGTATTGACATAACTCAGTTTATTTTATTGTGAACTTGTATTTCATGAAAAAAAACACAAGTCAAACCAGGGTGAATCCAGGATTTTGAGCAGGAGGGGGTCCAAATGGAAAATTTAAGTATTTATATAGAATATATTTCATGTAAAACAAAGGTTTTGTAAGTTGAAATATTTATTAGTAATAACAAATGAACAAAAAGACTATTTGATAGTTTTATCCCCTTCAAAGTCAAAACTGCAACACAACCATCATTGATACTTATTTCACCAAGAGATAAGGTCTACTCTTTGTACAAGGTTGAAAATAGTCGGCTTGGCTTTTTGAGGATGAATCTCTGAATAACATCTTGTACGTTAATTTGAAGTCTGCGGTTAGAGTTGAGCAATACTACGGCACTAAGGTGGTCCTCCAACATCACTGATCGCAATGTCATCTTTGTTTGTCAAACAGCCGAAAATGATCTTTCTGCTTCGCAGTTAATGATAGGAATGAGGCATCAAAGTTGAAGCAGCACATGAAGATTTGGAAACAAATCTTTAAAGCAAGGTTTGAGGGCACTTATTAGAGTATCTGGAGAGTTCTCACAATTCTTCCACCTCCCTCGCCAGATCTCTAGCTCAGTTTGTAAACTACCTGAAATAAAGTAAAGAAAATCTACCTTAGTAATTAAGGCTTTATTTAATTAATAACGAGGCTAAAAAGTAAAGTAAAGAGTTAGACAAGCCATTAAAAACTTGAATGGAACAGATATAACAAAGAGAATATAAAAATTAAATTAAGAATAAATTTATAACACTACCAAGATGAGTAATGTCTGGTTCATATCCTGAAAGTTGATCCACCAATGTCGATATCTCTTTCAAGTCCATCCCTCTTATCACTGATGGTATCAACGACATGAATGCTCAAACAGCTGTGATAGATGAGTCAGAGAATTGCTCAGCCAGTTGTGTATTCATATCATCAATAAAGGGTATCACAATCGCCCATTTGAAATACTCCTTCGGGTCTTTGGCTGGGTGGGTTGACCTGTAAGAAAGAAAGAAAACTTTATGTTGCAAGAAAATGAAGCATGTTAAAACGTCAAAACAAAGTAAACATGTGTAAATAAAAACAACAAATTTTGTGTTAAAAAACCATTATTTCTGCAAGGCAAATCAAAAGGCCTTAAATATCTGTAAGTGCTGGCTTTAGCTCGGCATATTCTTTCATCAGTCCCAAGCTGTTCAGCAATTTTTTTTATTTCCACATACCATCCATCAGATTGGTCATTTACTTCTGACGTTAATAGAACCATGTCTTAGATAGAAAGGCGACTTAGAACTTTATTCAACAAAAATGTGAAAAGCAAAAATAAAAAGGAAACTGATAATGTTAGAAAAGCAACTCTCTCTCTCTATATATATATATACACAAAGTAATTTGAATAAATGTTTTTTTTTACAAAATAATGCATATTTGAATATTGTGTAATATACTTCATATATAGACTTAGAGCTTTATTCAACAAAAATGTGAACAGCAAAAATAAAAAGGTAAACTCATAATGTTAGAAAAGCAACTCTATATATACACACTAAGTAATTTAAATAAATGTTTGTTTTACAAAATAACGCATACTTGAATATTGTGTAATATAACTCATATATAATTTGAATAGCGTATTGAATTAAAGAAAGAAAGATTTGAATAAGTGCTTCAACAAGAAAAAAGAAACAAAGATTTGAATGCAACAGCACCTCATTCGTCTTTGAACTAAATTCGATCAGTTCTTGAAGGTTTTCTTTGTTGTTGTCAGGATCTGCTGTAGAATCATCCCTGTGTCCACGTAATGCTAATCCTTGATGGCCCAGAAAGATAATGCATTCTTTGATACTTCCTAGTGCAGCCTTATTCCTTTCATACTGATTTTGTTGCTGTCTTTGTAATTGGATGTCCACATGATCTGCAGAATTTTCTTCTACGTGCTTTTTGTGACAGTATGCCACCACTGCCAAGTTATGGAGTGAGTTTTCTTCATGGTTTGGCAGCACCCCATCTTTGCCTAAAGCTTTTCAGAAATCTATTAATGGTCTTTCAACAAGAACACCAAACTGACAGCCTCTACCATCGGGTTTGCGTGCAAAGAGCGCACAGGGTAAGCAGTATCCACCATTCTTCTCCCTGGAGTACACAAGCCACGAAAATTGATCAAGCCAGGACAATTTAAATTTCAGATTTTTGCACTTGTGTTATCGCACAGAGAAGGTGAACTTGTTATCAGGGCAAAAATGTTTCTTCATCAACTGCATTTTTTCATCATCAGTTAGTTTCGATCTATCAAACAATCCCAAGTCATCGTACTCTCCATTCTGATCCAAATTTTCTGTCGTTTTTGACGTGCTTGGTGAAGGCATGGCAGTTGTTGGATCTTCTGTTGCCCCTAGGGTGCTTGTGTCAACTTCCAGAGTGGGATTTTCTGATAGTTGATGAAAATCATCATCAGAACTCGGTCTTGATTTCTTGATAAAAAATTTGTTATTGCAGCCTGTGAAGCTTTTCTTTTCTCCATAGTTTGGTGTCTAAAAAAAAGACAGATATTTTTAGATATTGAAGGAAAAATTGCTAATATATAAGTGATCCACCATTTCTTACTTACAGTCGTGACCTTGTTAGCACTGGAGTTGACTCAAAAGTAAAGTAAAGAAAATTATAAGTAAAGTAAAAAAAAATAAGTAAAAGAATAAGATGGAAGGCATTTTAGTTATATTGTTTTTAAGGTTAATTTATCATTACTTGGGGTTTTTGAGTTTTTTATTTATAAAAGTTCTTTATCTAGATATTATAAAAACATTTTAATTATGCTTTGCCCGAGCAGGGGGTCCAGCCCCCCTGGATCTGCACCTGCAAACAATTTAATTTTTTTCAGACCACTTAAATTATTTTTATTTCATATATGATGTTTAATTTCTCTGTAAAGCATGGTATAACATTGAATTGAATAGCAGATGTTACATAAATTGAAAGTAAACTAAAGGGATTGACATATCTCAATTTATTTTATTGTGAACTTGTATTTGATGAAAAAAAAAACACAAGTCAAACAATTTAATTTTTTAATTTTTATTTTATATATGATATTTAATTTCTTTATGAAGCATGGTATAACAGTAAATTTTTGTTCCCCTACAAAGTAGTATCTTTTACTAATCAAAATAAATAATTAAAGAAAATCTATGCATCACTGCCACTGTAATTTATTCTTGTGACCATATAACCCATTACCATCTAGCTGACACATATTTGTCAATACAATCTTAAACACTTTTAATGGAGAAATGGAAAATCATACAATTTACATTAACACTAACTTTATAGCAATCGGTTCTTCCGATACGGTACTTACCTCCTCTCACAAGATTAGCTATTCTTGTTTGGTGCTTGCGCATCCCCCTTTGTTGTAAATATCATGTTCCAGTATGTCTCATGTAAATCATCATATGTGATCTCTTAACCAATAGTAGCATGACATGCTCACGTGACACATGTGACTCTTTCTACACTCCTCTACTGAACCTTAACTTCTCATTTGGCAGTGTTCAGACATTTTTTCTTGTGCTAGTGCTACCGTGTGATAATAGAACATTTTCTTCCCGCCAAAAGTGGTTTCTTTTTTAACTTAACTTTTAATTTCTTTTCTACTATAACCCAGTTCAATTTTTTGCTATCTATTTTGACAAAACTTGATCACTTGTAAGTTCTGTTTTGCATTATGAATTCCGAAGTTCACGTTACCACTTCGGGAGTCACACCAACAACTAATGTTGTTTCTCAGGTGCAGGTGACTCAACGGTAGATCTATCTGCTTTTATATGTCAGGAGATTGAATGCTACATGGGTCAATTCTTGTCCCCTGACATCGCCCAGGCTCCTCCTTAATTGGTGGAAATTCTACAGAATGATGAGGATTTTGATTGTCTTTTCCTCAATGACAAAACATCCTTCGCCAACTGTACCTGTGACTACCATGTGGGTTCAGGACTGGTAGGAGCTCGACTGTTAGACTTTCTTCCTCACTGGCATCATGTATTGAGGATAAATGGGTGATACGGGTTCTGTCAGAAGAATTTGCTATCCAATTTCTTTCCCCATTTTCTTTTCTCTTTCTCTGGATCACAGGGCATGCCAGAGTCTGACATCATACCAACCAACTCCTTTCTGTGGCAGCTCGAGCGGTCTGGTTGATCAAAGTAGAGAAGTTGTTCCTTTGACTCACACACTACCTGGTCCTTTATGGGGTCCTTTTCAACACTAATATTAGGCATGTCATGCCTTCTCCTTTACTTCTTTGGTCCATGAAACTTTTAGTTCATCGAGCTCTTTCGACTTGGTCACTTACTGCTCACGTGGTTCTATCACTTTTGGGATGTGGCCCTCCATTACTACACTTATCTCTCTTGGTCATGAAGCACCATTGCATTGCTCGAGAGTCTCTTTCCACCATCTTCTCCCTTTCTCCTCCTCTGTAAGATAATCTGCATACATTGATGTGTATGCCACTTCCTCCCCCCCCCTCCCCCAACTTCAGTTCTACATTTGTTCATGGAAGCATCATTTGCAGGTTGGGGCCATGGATTGATCACTAGGAAGCTTTGGACCATTGATCTGAGGATGAATCAGTCTTGCATATCAATGTTCTCAAACTTTTGGCAGTACATTGAGCTTTACATCACTTCCTTCTTCTCCTCTGTCATTGTCTGATGATGGTTCATTCAGACAACTCTACGATGGTGGCACATATTAGCCACCATGGGGCATACGGTTCAAAGACCTCTGTGTTTTGAATGTTAGAGCTCTTATACTGGGCCCATGCACGTCACATTTGTCTTATTGCATGTCATGTGCCTGGTGCTTTCAATCTTGTCACAAATTGTCTTTCACAACTTAACCAGATCTACATTTCAGAATGAGCATTGGCTCCTCTCATTTTCCTAGACCTTTGCCATCATTGGGGTTCTCCCCAATTAAATGCTTTTGCCACGAGCCTCAATTCCAAGTTGCCTCTCTTTTGGTCACCTGTTCTGCAGTCCCATGCCTTGGCGGCGGGTGATTCTTTCAGCCAAGATTGTTCACAAATATACCTGTATTTGTGCCTTCCAATCCGGCTGCTGCGTCAGGTGATTTCTCCAGTCCATTCCACTCATTGCTGAGTCCTCCTGATAACACCCTTTTGGCTGGCACAACTTTGGTTTCCCAGGTTACAGTGTCTGCTCCTGACACCACCAGTTTCTTTTCCACTTTCTATTTACCTTCTTTGTCAACCTCCTACATCTCAATCTCCTTCCATCTTCATGTCTGCCTTTCGTCCAGTCCTTGGCAAGAAGATCTGGTTTCATTTGTTGAGTTGCTTCCTTGTTAACTGGTGTGTTCCTTATGTCTGTCTTCTTTAGAAGTCTACCAGCGTAAGTGGAAAGTCTTCTGCTGTTGGTCTGCAAACAGAGGATTTCCATCTGACAAGCCTGTGGTTCATGTTATGGAAATCTCAACTGAGTGTTCGACCATGGTTCTTCAGTCTCCTCACTTTTAGGATATTGGGCAGTACTGTCTCATACCTTTCTCCTGTTCTTACTGGGATCATACATTCCTTAAGGATTCGACGGCTGCTGAGGCTTCCTGACCTTCTAAATTGGGACATTAATGTGGTCCTACATGACCTCACTTTACCTCCATTTGACCCACTTTCCTTAACTTGTTGTTTCATCTGTCCATTTAAATTTATTTCCATCTTCTGTTGGCCTGTGGTCGTCAATGATCGGATCTGTTTGCCATAGGCATATCATGTACCCTTATCACCTTACCTAGCTTCTCCTTTATCTCAATTGTCTCTTTCTCACTAAAATCTCAGCCTCACGAGAGGGTTATTAATCCTTTTCTTCTATGTCCCATCTTTACCATTGATCATATCCGAATAGACTTCTGTGTCTGATCAGGGCCCTTCATTGTTATATCACACGTACTGCATCTTTTCAGGGTACATGTAACGATCTACTTTTCCCATAACAATTCTCCTCCTTTTGTGATCTTTTCCCTTCTACCCTTATGAATTGGGTCTACCTTTCGGTTCATTTAACCTACTCTTCCCTGCCTTCTTCCTTCCATACCTTGTTCCATGTTTCCTCCCATCAAATCAGACATCTCACCTTTTACCTCGCTTCTCATCTTCGTTCTCTGATGGAGAAGATTCACCAATCTGGCATGTGGACCACTCCCATTATGTTCATCTCCCACCATCTTTATCATATCGTGCTTTCCTCTGCATCAGGATTTTGTCTATCACCTGTGGCCCTTCTCCAGACTTCAGTGTGATTTTAACTGGTCAGTTTTATTCATTTTCTTTCACAGGCCTTTTCTCTCCCTTTTTATCGTGGATCCCACTCTGTGGTGAGTGGTGCCGGTCCAAATATTCTTTAACTCTAAATCCGCATTGTGTTGTAGGTGAATAACCTTATGATGACATTGCTTCATAAACATTCCCATTCTAGACCGTACCACTCATGTATAGTATGATTTTCAAAATAGGGTTTCATGGTCACCAATTGCACTGTCTCTGGTGATGACGTTCCATTGGGCTCTCCACCGCATAGTCACCCTCAATTCAGTTGATAGTAGGGCAGTGGTGTTCTGCTGGTGTAGATGCGATGTGGGCTCTGGAGGAGTTGAGCCATTGCCTTGCTGATTGATGTGGCCTCCTGATCATGTTACACGCCAACACTGGAATTGAGCCATCTCCTTCCAGGATGATGTGGCCTCCCACTACCATTTACACAACCAACAGAGCTGAATTAATTGCCTTCTGGTTGACATAGCCTCCTGCTACTATTTACAAAACTAGGGGAGTAGAGCTGTCTCCTTGCGAGATGATGTTGCCTCCTGCTTCCTTATACACATCAGCTGGAGTTGAGCCATCCCCTCATGGGATGATGAGACCTCCTGATCCACTTTCAGTTCACACTGGAGTTGAGCCATTGCACTTGCAGTTCACCCCTCAATTGAGTGTCCTCATCCTACCTTCATGCAGATGTCGATTACCAACGTCGAGGTTTTGGGTTAGAGTGAACCAATCAACATAAGTCCTCCCATGGAAGCAGGTTGTCTCTCTTCCTCTCTTAATTACTCCATCTGTGTTTTTGTCACTACATAGTTAGTGGGCTGGTTCTGGTGTTCTCCTGGACCATCCCTTGTTCTTCTTCCGGGGATGTTATTGTCTTTGGATGATATTGGCCTGTTCCATGGTTGGGAGAGTTGATTCCATTTGATGGACACCCTGTCTTCGTGCCATACCCAGATATCAGTGCAGGTCTTAAAACCCTGATTTTGGGGTTTGAGGTGAAGATGGTGTGATCCTCATCCTACCTCTGCATAGATGTTGGTGTTCTGTGGGGAGGTTTTGGATGTAGTTGCCTTACCAAGTACAGTCCAACACACCCTAGCCACAACACATTTCTGCACTTGTGCATGTCACACTGTACACAAGGGCGAAGAGTATACCTGGCTCAGAAGTAGTGCAGCTCCCCTCTTCTGA